CCTGAGCCACAGGCACAAGACTGCAGATCTACCATCGGCACGTTGGAACGTTGCTCCTGGTGACAGCGGCCCTGGTTTCACTGACTGCTCACATCTGTATATAAGCACTGACGGTCTTCCATCTGTGTCTCCTCCGCCTTGTACTCTCAGGAGACTCATTACCCACCAGAGGTCCCTGCAAAGGGACAGGGCTGTGCAGACTAAAGAGACAAGACTACTAATGAACAGCCATTTTCCTTTCATAGGAATGTTTCCTGGCAAAGATGACTTCCACCTCCGGCCATCTTTCAACCTACTGGGTGGCTCGACCCAGAAACCCATGTACACACATCTGTCTGTTCATAAGCGCACAACACAACTAAATACAAGGCACTCTGCATTCTCCAACTCATTAAAATCCCACGTCACTGATGAGGTCGGAAGGGGAGGGGGGTCCCTCGAAGCCTTTGATGACTCGGACACACCCACCTTACATAGAGTTCTTTCTTGGCCCCTGCGATGGCTGTTCTTGGTTGTCAACTTGACTACATCTGAAATTAACTAAAACCCAAGGGACTGGGTACACCTGTGAGGGGTTTGGTTTTTTTTTTTCTTAACTGAATCATTTGAAATGGGAAGACCCACTCTTAATCCAGATCTTCTGAGGTGAGAAGATGCACCTTTAATCCAGAACTTTGGAGGTGGGAAGGTCCAGCCTTATCTGGGTCACACTTTCCTGTGGCAGCTTATATAAGGACGTGGAAGGAGGAACTTGGACTCTGCCTGCTTGCTCTCACTGGCGACTCCATTCCTTCACTGGCATTAGAGTCTACTTCTTTGAGAGTCTGGCATATACTAAAGACCAGCTGAGACAACCAGCTTCATAAACTGAACAACTACTATATTCTTGAACCTTCTGTTCACAGATAGCCATTGTTGGGCTAGCTGGACCATGGTCTGTAAGTCATTTGAATAAACCCAGATAGATAGATAGATAGATAGATAGATGTATGTGTGTATATGTAAAGGATTTATTAGAATATACATGTACTATATGTATACACATACACACATACACATGCATATGTGTTCTGTACCTCTAGAACAGTGGTTCTCAACCTGCAGGTCATGACCCTTTTGGGCCATATATCTTACATAACAGATATTTACATTAGGACTTATAACAGTAGAAAAACGACACTTATGAAATAGCAGTGAAATAATTTTATGGTTGGGGATCAGCACAGTTTTGCAGCATTGGGAAAGCTGAGAACCACTGCTCTGCAGAACCCTAACCACAACATCCCTTCTCTTAGTTTTTGCTTTTCTTCATTTTTTTTTTATAGTTCATAAAGTGCAGATATAGAGAGTATTTCTTGCTTGCTTCTAATTCTAAGGCATTTCAATTATTCCAGAAAGGCAAAACACGGGCGTCTCTGATGCAGATTAAAAGAGAAATCAAGGGCTGGCTGGCAGACACCAGTGAGGGTAGAGTGACAGGTGATTAAAGGCCGGGCAAAGGAAACAGAACTTTGAAGACAGAAACTGTTCAACTGAAGCCTCAACCAGAGGCCTCTGTAGGGCCTGTTAATGAAACACCAGAAGCAGGCAGCTGAGACACCAGAGAGGAGAGCCAATTCTGAGCGAACCTCTGAGAGGGGAGAACCTCAGGCTAGCTTTTCTCTACTCAGGGTGCAGTCTTTGGAAGACATGTGAAACGGTAAAGTCATGTAAACAGGTACTATTGTAAGCCCAGTGTGCTCAACCAGGGAAAACTGCTGCTAGCATTTTGATGTTTGGACTGTCTGAGGTTGAGCTAGGAGAATCCCTGAAGCCTAAGAGCTCTAGGCTCTCATTACAAGACTCAGAGCTCAAAAATTAATAATAATAATAATAATAATAATAATAATAATAATAATAATAAAAAACAAGTGTTAGAGGTGTGTGTGTCTGTAACTTGAGATACAGCCCCGATCATTCCTCCCCAAGTCCAGTGAATGAGCAGATAAAAGCATCTCTACAGTCTTCCCCCACACATCTGTTAAACTGCTCTTCACAATCACAACACTAGCTTTAAAATAAAACTTAAACAAATCGAAATACAAATAACGCAATTGCCTGCCACTTTCAGTGTGACTAGATGGGGTTTAAACAAGAGGATTAAATTTCCTAGGAAACAAGTAGCGAACCGTGGCAAAGGAAGGCGGTCACCCGTCAATCAAGTGGCCACTAGGTCTGGTTTGGCAGGGGTGGTTTCAGTCTGGGGGGCTGCTCCCACACTGGGGTGCTGACACTGAGTTTTGATCACACTTCAACTAAAGTCTAGCCTGATTACAAGTCACTGGCATTTAGAATCCTACGCAAATTACCTTTCGATCTAGGAATACAGCCCTAGGGGCCACAGTAAGGGGCATTTCTGTAAATGTCCCAGAGACACGAATGCCCAAAGCATTTCTGAAAAATCTAACACATTTCAGACCCAAAGCATAAATGTTTACCGAGTCATTTAAAATGCTATTTTGATATTAAAACACATCAGACATAAAAGGGGAGGCAGGGGCTGGAGAGATGGCTCAGTAGTGAAAAGCATTTGCTTTCTTGCAAAGGACCTCCTGTAATTCCAGTTCAAGCAGGCACCTGTATGAATGTGGTGTACATACAGACAAGCAGGCACAAACATACACACATAAGTAAAAAATAGTTTTGTAAAGGTCAAGGGGGAAATGAAGGAATTTTTTAGCTTAAAAATTCGAAAAGGCGGGGCCGGAGAGATGATCTAGCAGTTACGAGCACTGGCTGCTCTTCCAGAGGACCTGAGTTCAATTCTCAGCACCCACGTGGTGGATCATAACTGTCTGTAGCTCCAATTCCAGGGGATCTGGCACCTTCACAGATATATATGCAGGCAAAACTCCAGTGCACATAAAACAATAAATAAATCTTTGAAAAATATACTAAAAGGCAAGAAGCAAAAGGAAGGAGGAGGAGGAGAAATAATAATAATGCTGAGGTGTAGTCCACACAGTAGAGGTTTATTTAATACAGTGGGGCCTTTACTAGAAGTAACAGAATGCAGTCAGAAAGAAGAGGCCGCAGTGTGGACGTAAACTAAACCCACAGGCAGGAGAAGACATTAAACAAAGAAACTACAGTTGGAGGCTACCAAGCAGGACCTTATCTCTCTTTTGCCTGCACCATTATTCAGCCACCTCTACCAGAGAGAACACATCTGGGAAGGAGAACCCAGGTGGAAAGGTTCTCACGGGCAGCCCAAACTGACCATCCGAATACATGATGCTTCTCCCATGATAACCACTTAAGGAATCCTGCCTGTGTGATGTTTCTCTGTCAGTGGCATACAGGAACAAGCAAAGAGAGATCTCTCAAGACAGTGCACCTCTAAAACCATCCAATCAGCCAGTGACAACGAACACATGACCGAACATCACTACCACAAACAGCCACAAATGAAATCTGCAAAAGCACAGTATGGCTGACCCCTGAGCACTACAGACTTCAAATGCTAAGGGCCACTTATATAAGGATTTCTTCTTTTCTTCCTTTTTCTATTCCTTTACGGAGATTTCTTTTGAAGAAAAAAAAATGATAATATGGATGAAATTATGTTTCATTCAAACACAGAAAGTTAGAATTCTGTCTCTTTAAAAACGATGTTGATACCTGTGTGTGTGCGTCATGGAACTCACAGAGACTGGTGTGAGTTCTGGGGCCCTGTCAGGCTCTGACAAAGCACCCCGCCTCCAACACACAGAATTCCGACACTTCACTAAAACCCACGCTTGGCTTTCGTGTCTCTGAAACATGGCACCTGGTCCTAAGTGTGTGTCTCTTAGGATGCCATGGCAGTATTAACACAGTGGAGAAGAGCAGCAGCTTAAAACTGGACTCTAAATTTGGATGAATACCTTCACTGTTGCCCCCTCTATAAAGGGCAACATCTGTGTGAATATGGTGCACAGACAGACAGGCAGGCACAAACACACACACACACATACACCTAACTCAGTGACTGGATAAGTAAAACCCACAAGCAGCAAAATTAAATTGTTACAAATGGCAGCTTGTGGAAAGAGGGGGAAAACAGAAATGAAAAACAAGTAACAGAATAAGAGGAAAAACAGCTGGGAAGGGATGGGACAGGCAGGGAGGGGATCAGGCTATCAATTTCTTTCTTTTTTCTTTTTTTAATTCATTTTTTTCATTGATGTTTTGCCATGAGTGTTGTCCCCTGGAATGGGAGTTACAGACAGTTATGAGCCGCCATGTGGGTGCTGGGAATTGAACCTGGGTCCTCTGGAAGAGCAGTCGGTGCTCTTAACCTCTGAGCCATCTCTCCAGCCCCATTAAATTTTGTTTTGGTTTGGTTTGGTTTTTTGTTTTTTGAGACAGGGTTTCTCTGTGTAGCTTTGTGCCTTTCCTGGAACTCACTCTGTAGCCCAGGCTGGCCTCAAACTCACAGAGATCCACCTGCCTCTCTGCCCCTCCCAAGTGCTGGGATTAAAGGAGTGCATCACCACCACCACCACCACCACCACCACCACCACCACCACCACCACCACCACCACCAGCACCCCAGGCAATCAATTTCTAAGTAGCTGAGCCTGACTAAGGAACAATTGGATCACAGCAAAAATCAACTGGCAAAGAATGCAGTTAGTAAGAAGGCTAAACTTGTCTGAGCCTAGTAAAAGCAATTACATTTATTTTCTAACTAAAAACATAGTCATCTCCAATCACATCTTTACTAATATGGAAAGCATTTTTAAAGGATTTCTTTAATGTCAATATCATTATTCTGAACAGTTTTCTCTCTTTTAAAAACGCTAACAAGAAGTGAAGTCAGCTTATCCATCTGAACAGTGAGGGGCACAGCTCATGTATCTGGAGCCAACTGCTACAACAGAAGCTTATGCAAGGTTCTTAAAACATTCATTCGCTTAAAGCTGTTTAAACATCCTAATTTCAAAATAAAGACTTTCAAATAATAAGAAAATACTTACATCTCAATTTGTCCAGCATTTTTCCACCACACATGGTTGCTAACATAGCTTTAACTGAAAATACGGTCAACTTGCCTCGGCCCTCACTGCAAAATAAACATTAGAAATAATTGCTATCTGGAAGAACCACAAAAACAATCAAACGTATCTCTATACACTGAGCAACTAAGACATTGATTCCTGCCCTTGCATGCTTCAATTGTACCACATTTATCAACTCTGTTTTCTCAGCCTCTGTAGAACTAAGGTTCATCTACAATTGGCAGAGACAGCGAAAGCTGAGGCGGTCATCTGAAGGTGACTTTTACAAACAGCTTGTAATCTCTGTTGATCTGTAGGAAGAAACCAAGTGGACGGGCTGAAATGGACTTTCCTATCAACGAGACATTAAATCTACAGCCGGAGTGACAGCAAGTGGTCAAAACTGAAAGAGCACCCGGTTTGAATATAATTTTAAGAAATGCCCCAACATCAGGATAACAGTAGCTTATCACACTAAACACCAGATGCACGCCGATATGAAGATTTTATAGATTTTATAGCATGTACTTCTTTGTTTTTCTTGTAGTGATCTTTATGTAACAATGTTAAGTGTTTATTCTGAGAAGTTCCATCACGGCTCGGTCAAATCTTCCATTCACCACTGTGAGCAAGTGAAGGGGAACAGTAACTCTGGTTCTTTAGGACTGAGAAGATGAGAAGAACCTAAGGAAGGCTGTGTAACATCACCAGAGCGCCGTCCCTTTGGTCACACCGGCTTTCACTGCAGATGAAAACCTTCACTAGCTGGTTAACGACGGGCCTTTGTGGGTATTATAAAGTCTGTGATCGTGAGGCTTCACAGTAACTTAGAGCAAAACACCTTTGCAGTGAGGAGAGATTACCATGTGGGCTTTCAAAAAGCAAACGCCCCATTATATTCAACAGAGAATGTTTCCCAGGCTGGGGATACAGCTCAGTGTAGAGCGAGTCCTAGCCTGCCTGTAGCCCTGATTTGATCTCAATACAGGAAACACACACACACACACACACACACACACACACACACACACAGTGCTCCCTGCTTCCCGACCTTTCTTGTATTTGAAAGGATCACATCTGAGAAGAACGTGGTCTGTAAGTCATTTTTTATTACAGCTGAGTTTTTAACCATGACACCACACAGCTTATTCAAAAAACAAGAAACCCTGTAACTATCTAAAACAAGGAAGGAGTTTTTAGAAATATACAATTCTTCAGAAATAAAGGCACTGTTCTATATGTAAGGCAGTATGGGTCTGGAATGATCAGAAATGTTCCTGTCAAGCAACCATTCCATTATGCAAGAAAGGTCGGCGTCTAGAGAATCATTAGTCAATTTTAAAAAGTATGCTCTTTTTTTTTTTTTTTTTTTTTTAAATTTTAGATAAGGTCTTCCCAGTCCTTGGTGATTTGGAACTCACTATGAAGCCCAGGCTGGCTTTGAACTTAGAGCAATCCTCCTGTGTCAGTCTCCCAAACGTCGGGATTACAGGCATGCACTACTGCACCCAACTCAAAAGCGTGGACCTTCAGAAGGATCAAAACCATGCCCGGATAAAAGTCCAACCAGCGGCATGAGAACTGATGGGTCTGAGGCTTACACCCCGAGGACGCTGAGGAAGCTGAACGCAGCTTAGAACAGCAGCGATCAACCTTCCCGAGGCCACCGCCCTTTAGTGCAGTTCTCACGTGCTGACTCCCACCCGGAATATTTTTGTTGTTACTTGGAAATTGTACTCTGGCTACTGTTATGAATCGTAATGTAAATATCTGGGTTTTCCGATGGTCTTAGGTGATCTCCGTGAAAGGGTCACAACCCACGGGCTGAGAACCACAGGCCTAGAGCAAAAGCACAGACCCTGAGAAATGCTTAAGAAAGAATGCTCCCCACCCCACCCCCGACCTATCACAACTACAGATCTCACAGTGACTATTAACAATGGTTCCGATAGGATAGCGAAGGAATTATTGTCTTATAAGTCTTCGTGTGTCTGAGGTTATCTAGACAGAACAAGTGAGAGAGTTGGTGCAGGAATACAATTACTACTTTTATGTCAACTGGGCCCTTAACAAATGAGACAATACACACGGGGGACAGGGGAGTAAGGAGATAAAACTGTTCCCTTCTTTCCCCAAAGAATCCACATAGTCAAGAATCCTAGAATATGGCTGAAGTCAACGCCTGCATGTCTCATTGAACTTGGAGAAGTCAAGCTGGAGCCTAAGAACTTGAAGAATGTTTGCCTAGTATGAACTCAAGTCCTGGGTTCAGTTCCCGGCACCACATACACCAGGTGTGGTGGGGGACCACACAGCTGTGGTCTCAGCGCTCAGGAGGTGGTGGGAGGAATTTAAGGCCATTTAAAAATAAACAAATCCAAGAAAAACCGCTCTCCGCAGCGGACAGCAAGGCGAGGCTTGGTAGCACACACCTGAATTGCATCTATACGGAAGGCGTTGAGGCTGTAAGTTGGTGGCCAGCCCGAATGTAGCCAGAATCTGTCTCAAAATAAAAATCAAAAGGGGCTGGAGACGTAGCTCAATGGCAGAACACTCGCCTCGTAATCCCTAGAATTAAAGGGGGGAAGCCAAGCAGAGACAGGATAAAGTGCGTGCCAGAGTACAATGGAGAAAATGTTAAAAAGGAGAGAGAAAGCGGAGCCGGAGAGAGATGGCTCAGTGGTTAAGAGCTCTGGCTGCCATTCCAGAGGGTCTGGCTTTGATTTCCAGCACCCACATGGTGGCTCACAACCCTTTGCCGCTCCAGTTCCAGGGGATCTGAGGACACCGCACACATGTGCTGCACAGGCACACACGCCAGCAAAACCTCCACACACGTAAAATAAACTTAGAAAAAAGAACCGCTGCATCTCCACACATGTTCTGTGCATGCAGAAACCATCTGTAAAGGGATACAGAGAATAACAGCTTGACTCCATGACGGGAGGCGGGCAACGGCCTTAACGGAAGAAGAACTTGATCCCTTCTCACTGGAAAAAGGGTTCTCACGTCCAATTTATGACTACAGGGGGGGAAAGTAAAACAACAAATTAAATTCCAAGCAAGAAAATGGAAAATGAATATGAACAAAAGCTGAAATTAATGAAACTGAAAATAAAAGTAGGGAAAAAAAAACTAAGAAAAGCAAAGAGCTAGTGTTTGGGCAGATCACTAATTATACCAATAAATCTCTAGCAAACCTGTGAAGAAAAAAGATACAAAATACCAAATTAAGAATGAAACCGGGCAGGGCTTGGAAAATGGCTCCATGAGTAAAGAGCTTAATAAGTGAGCATGAGGACCTGAATTAGGACCCTTGGCGCCCATGTGAAAAGCCAGGTGTGGTGGCATGTGTCTGTAACCCCAGCAGGAGGGGGCGGGGACATGAGGATCAGTTCAATTCTGACACCATCTACCTAGTAGACAGGCTGAAGACTCCGTCTCTTGGACTTGAGAAGCCAGCTCCAAGAAGTAGGTAGGTGGTTAACACGTACATCTGACTGGCTAGAAATCAGGAGTCCCTGTAACTCCCTCCATGGATTTGACCGACTCACAGAACTTAGGGAAACTATTTTTGTTCACACGTTTACTCATAGGGGACACGATGAAGGAGACAGATGAATAGAGGGGTGTGAAAAAGATCCACAGGATCTATGTGAGAATGGGCACAGAGCTCTTAGGCCCTCCTTAGGCAACGAGTACATTCAGCCATCCAGAGGCTCTCGAACTCAGTTCTCTGGAGTCGCACACATGGCTGACTAAGTCATTGGACGCTGGCGTCTGACTCAACCTTCAGGTCCTCTTTCATGCCCCAGGCTGGGGACTGGAGCTGCAAGTTCCAACTGTACTCAAACAGACCGGGCGCCCTGGGCCCCCTGGCAACCAGCTTCCATTCTGAGGTTACCCAGGAGCCCATCAGGAGTCGCCTGATTAGAACAATAGATGCTCTTGCTCGGGAGGTTAACAATTTGGGAACTGGATCAGATATGCCCATTACTTAGAAAACTGGTCAGTTAGCAGCATCCAAGACTAACTACCAGGACAGAAGATGACCTCAGCTCTACCATCAGCAAGAGTAGCAGCTCTTCCTCAGGAACGAGACACTAAACATAAAAACAAGAGATTCCCCTAGTGCCCTCAGCTCACAGATACTGCCAGGGGTGAGGACACAGGTCAACATGCATATCATTATTTCACACGTCTAAAAGTCCTGACGGAATATTTTTATAGGAATCAAAACAACTGTGGGTCTTTCGAGTTCTCCTTTAGAAGATATCTGAGTATACCATCTGGGTAACTAAAGCTCACCCTTACTTTTTTTTCTTTTTTTGTTTTTTTCGAGACAAGGTTTCTCTGTGTAGCTTTGTGCCTTTCCTAGAACTCTATAGCCCAGGCTGGCCTCAAACTCACGGAGATCTGCCTGCCTCTGCCTCCAAAGTGCTGAGATTAAAGGCGTGCACCACCACCACCACCGCCCGGTGCTCATCGTTATTTTTAAAACTCTTCCCATTATTTCAAAAATGCATCCTAAGCTGAGGACAGCCAACACAATGTTCAGGGTGCCTAGCTACAGCTTACACATTCTGAATCCTAAAGATTTAGCATTTCTCCTTAAATTAACTTCCCTCACACTTACGATGATCCTTGATCTTAAATAGCCCTACTTTTCTCAGTACTTAAAAATCTTGAACTAGCACTGGAGAGATAGCCCAGTGGTTAGAACACTGACTACATTCCCAGAGAAGCCAGGTTCAATTCCCAGCACCCACATGACAGCTAACAAGCATCTGTGACCCCAGTGCCAAGGGATGTTAAGGCCTCCTCTGGCCTCTGTGGGTACTGCATGCACACATGCAAGCAAGACACCCATCACATAAAATAAAAATAAGTTGCCAAAACATTTTTAAAACCTTCTTTAACTGTATTTATATATTCTCTCTCTCTTAATATTTTATCATAATAGCCGCCGGGCAGTGGTGGCGCACGCCTTTAATCCCAGCACTCGGGAGGCAGAGCCAGGTGGATCTTTGTGAATTCAAGGCCAGCCTGGTCTACAGAGCGAGAT